TCAAATCTACCTTCCAAATCTGCTATACGATTCTCTGAATGGAATAATGAAGCAAAACAGCGCAACGGCAGTGGTCGGGATTCGCAGTCAAAACGTCGTAGGATCGGCCCCTGATCGCGTTTACTGTCTTGCGTTCTTCAGAATTAGGCTAAATAGGCTATTAAAAGCCTTTTAGCTGTACTCCTGAAGAAGGCAAAACAGTAGACGCGATCAGGGGCCGATCCTACGACGTTTTGACTGCAAATCCCGACCACTGCCGTTGCGCTGTTTTGCTTCATAACTCCATTCAGAGAATCGTTTAGCAGATTTGGAAGGTAGATTTGAGATCAGCGTTCAAAGGCACATCTAGTGGTATACATCTCTTCTTGAATGGCCATGGCGACCTGGGAGCCTTTCCTTGTTAGTTTGGTGGCTCGGTAGCACGGTAGGTGGTCATGAACTGCTTTGCAGTAATTGCATTTCTAGTGTGGAGTAGTACATATCAACCGTTTTATGTTGCATCACGAGAAAATAATATCGCAGTTCGCAAGGATCGTGGAGGCCGTATTGTTGTACCCTTTGCGGTTTGCGTTCGGCCGTGTCTTTGCATACTTATTTTATTACCGATATGGCTGTGAAGGTTTGATTTTATTTGCACAGTAAACAAATCAGTAAAAACCTTTTCGATATAGCAAAGGGAGAACGAAGGACTAGTCATCAAAAACCTCACACGTACAGAATGTGTTATTATATTAATAACGAAACACCGAGCCGTGTGGGGTTTGAATCTGTGATGTGGTTCCTTCTGGCGCTTAGTGTTCGTACTTGAAATCATCTGGTGCGCATATCCCCTGTCCTCGCTGTAGCATGTAACTTCTTCCGCAGAACTTTGTTTGTTAAGGTTTGTACGGCAGCGGAGATGAAGCGGAAGCATCTTCTTCTATTTCCAAGACCACAACCGAGGCATCTCCTGATCAAACGTCGAACAACGGCGATGTGGCCAAAGAGCAAACCAAGCCATCACCGGCAAATGAACCTAGTACACTCGCAGGTATGTTGGGCTCATTTTATGTAGCTGACTTTGGCTCCTTCTCTTCAATCTCTATCAAGTCATATGTTTCCGGTTCATACAAGTTGCTATCTGTAAACAGCTAGGCTTCCTTTACGTAAAATCCATTCCCATTGTTTTTGTTAAAGCAGCAAAGACTGTGCTTTTTTCCTAACGGCCTTTCCTGCGGTCCTTGCTGCCTTTGTACTATGTACAGGTAAATAGCAATATATTGTTAAGATTGTGAAGCAACAGGTTTTGACGACAACCTTGAAGTACTATATATCAACACTTCTCTCATCGATGAGAACACATGAATGTAGTGCCTCATCTATTGTCAGAAACTAGCAGTATGGCGAGCTGTGGCTCACTTACAATCACTATATCAAAGAAGATACTCTTTTGAATCGGTGGCTGAGAGGTTTCCATTCATAACTGAATATTTGCTTGATGGTGTCCACAGGATGCACAAAAGTTATAGTGACAGCGATTAGGAGTCGTCTAGAATGAACAGGCCACAATCTTAAGGACCAGAAATGCAGTACTATTCACTCTTTAATTATGAATCGTAATATCCAAATCACCAAATCTCAAAATCTTCTTTGTTGCTATTGAAACAGACCGTGAATAGCATTAAGGAACCATCAATTCTGGAAAAAAGGGTTCGAATTCGCTAGCGTCTGCGGTCGCGTCGCGGCCAGTGAATCACTCAATTGGCTGGTACCGCAACGCGACCGCGGACGCTAGCGAATCGCGCGAATCTTAGTAGCGAATCGCGCGATTCGCAAAGTCTGACATCGGCCGGAGCAACATGTATAACTTCGTGAAAAAGGTTCGCAATTGTAAATCGCATGCGCTGTCTCTATAGTTTTGGCGCATCCTAGTTTGATGTGCCTTTGTAAGTGATCACCAAGCGGCTTGAAGCCCTGCGTCGCCGCTGACACACGTGGGTTCCGAATTTCATTGCTGTACGTTGTTCCTTAAGCAGTGATTTGATTACACTCGTAGTGCGAACTCATGAGTTATGAAAAACCCTCAAAGCCTTTTTTTGAGTTTCCATAGTTTATGCGCAGCGTTATGGTTCTGGCCATATCGTTCAATGCACTTGTTCACATAAATTCTCATTCTTTTTCTTTACCATTTTTTGTTGCCGAGTTCATGGCAGATGTCGACCTGTAGTGCTTTTGTTGGAATTCATTTCATTTCATTTGCTACGCTCAAGGACATGCTGTGCAGATCATACCAGCATTCAAGCATAATAAACATAAGCAGCATAATAAAGGACAAATCCATTGATAACTTTCGTTGTATCGTACTGCATTTTCCTAAAAGATTTTATTGGTACAAACGAGATTGTTGGTTTCAGGGCTAGAACCGCTGCAGTTGGTCAGCGTAATCGGATGCCGTCGTGGTCAGAGAGAAGACATGCAGGATGCACATCTGCTGATAGATGATTTGTCACTCGACTTACCATTTGTGTTAGTTCTTTTAAAGTCATTTTTTTATAACTTCTTAGTATAGCCTAAAAAAGACTTTAGGAGGCGGTGTGCTTTGTTCGCTATATTTGATGGTCATGCTGGCACCCGTGCGGCTAAGTACTGCGAGAACAACGTTCCTACAGTTCTGAAGAAAAAGTTGAGTTCGTGTGAGTAATTAGGGCGAGATGGTGAATCAGGTCACTTGAGGGATGCAAATTCACTTCTCATTTTCTGCGTCTCCATCTTCAGGGAAACTGCAGTTCCTTCCATTACAGATCGTTTAGAGTGTGTTCCAAGAAGTGAGCCAGATTTTTTCCATTTTTTCAGATAGTGAGTTAACTACATTAGAAAAGCAGCTGAAGCGTGTTTTCACTGAGACATTCAAATCAATCGATGAAGGGTTTCTAACAGAAGCTAGAAAACGTGAGTGTTATCATGAATTATGGAAGATAGTGGTAACAAAAGAATCATGGCCGCTGGCGTTCAAGCTCTCAGGAAAATCAAGGATTGTTGGGAGCAGAAAGGGGGTAGTGGGCCCGGAAAGAAAATATGAGAAACTGAAGAGCAGAAAGAGTATAGACTTCCATCAATTATCTGTCATTGGGTGTCGTTTATACTCTTTGCGTTTCTACTCTTTCGATTCTCATTTTCTGTATTCATTTTTCAAACTCATGAATCATGATAAAGCAAAAAGTGAAACTTAAAAGGGACATCTACGAGAAGTGTTGCTAACACAGTTCTTGAGTTCTGATTTGTTATTTTTTTTGTTAAGAAAACCGGTATGGAAAGATGGTACCACAGTCACATGTGTTCTATTATTGAACGATTCCCTATACGTTGCAAATTTGGGAGACAGTAAGGTCAGTTGCTGAGTAACTTATCGAGATTGACTTTTTTCCAACATTTTACGCTTCGATACTATTATACTTCTCTAACTGTATACATATAATGAAATAAAAACGTAGTGGTAGGTAATACATAAAAAATGCTACACTTTATACGTGTGAGTGCTGACAAGCTATGGTACGTATACCATGAAAAGCTGAGTTGGAATGAAATGGTGCCCCGGTAGCGTAACTGGTAGCGCACTTGCCCGGAAAGCGAGAGGTGCGGGTTCTAGTCCCGCCTGGGGCGAAAGTTTTGTTCACAACCCAGCATTCTTGTGAAACATTCGCAAGGCGAACTGCGGCCAAAAACAGCAGTTAACAAACAAAAACAAGTTTAATACAAATAATAGTTTTTGTGTTCATCTGAAGTATACTTATCAGACCTTCTATGGGATCGAAGGTCAGCTTGAAGTAGAGTTGGGTTCGGATATGTGTGATCCAGTGCACACCGCTGGAGAAGCGCTTTTCGAAGTTGTTAGCGCGCGGTGTCTGGAGAATAAAATGTAATTTTCCTCATAGGTAGTCTAGTTTGTTGTTTCAAGTGAGTTCTTTCGACTCTCACGCCTTTGCCTCTACGTGGCTCCATATTGGTACCGGTTAGCTGAAGTGAAGAACATTTTTATGCACATCTCCCTAAGTGGTACGAAGGGGGAGGGGAATCAGATACGGCCACACGTGCAGGATCCGGTGATCCTGGCTCGCTGAAGTACCCGAAGCCTTCTATCTCTATTTTCTGGTGATAACTTATTCTGATGACTTGTTTTCTACACGTTTCTGAAGAGGAAAATCGTTGAATTACTCACTGATTACTCTTTTTCCTTACATTCAAAAAGCGCCAAGTGTTGATTGTACGTGCGTGGTGCGTCTCAAAAAGAATTCCGATTAGTGTAGGCGGTTAATCTCTTATCTACGTAAAAGAGATAATCATTTCAACACTGAAACCATCGAATGAGCATGTAAAAGGATTTTATTGTAACTTGAATAATATCAGACCTGAGATGGAAATGGCTGCTTCCGCCAGATTGTGTGCGCTAAAAAGCTGCATTCTTGCCTTAGCATACAGGAGAAATAAAGTCTCCACTTCATTTATTTGTTTGTAGAAAAGTTTTCTTCAAAGTGGAAGTTTCGCAAAACGCTGACTTCGCCGTGGTCCACCATATCTCACCGTCCTAGCTTTGCTTGGGACCGTTTATCAGATACATTACCTAGTAGACATTTCTGGTTGAGTGCACGAACTACAAGAGCCTGCTTTGTCTGGCATCGCAGCACATGAATACGATCTGGCTTGTTTCCATAAGAGTGGTGGGATATCTTTCATAGGTGTCGGTCGTAAGTGCGGCGCTGTTAGTGTACATAGTATAAATTTAGCCGTCTGTGTTTGGAGTTTTGGGAGCCAAATATGAGGTTGATGTACTGAAGGGGATAATAGGTTTAGGGAGGGACAAGAAACTGCTTTTCAACTGACTGCCTATGCTAGCCCCATCTGGTGTTTAGTTCCAATCACAACCTGTGGGTTCGTAGTATAGCTAACGACGCCGTTCTTCGCGTAAGCGGCGTAGCTTCTTTAACTTGCAAATGAATCGAACATTCCCGGCTGGTCGTATATGAAAAAACCTGTTTAGCATACTTCACTTTTTGTTGTAGAGATAACCTTCATTTCAGGCGATTGTATGTCGCAGTAAGGAAGGTGGGTTTTCTCACATAGAGCTCACGGTGAATCACAACCCAACCATGTATGAGGAGAGAATGCGCATACAAAAGGCGGGTGGTACAGTCAGGTACGAACCTTTCAAAGTACTCTGTACCGTTTTGCAACCCCTCTTCTACTTTTCAGAGATGGACGTGTCAATGGAATAATTGAAGTGTCGAGATCGATTGGTGATGGACAGTTCAAAACCCATGGAGTGACTTGTATACCCGATATGAAGAAACTTACCATCACAGAGAGAGACAGGTACCTTCAATCCTCGATGAAGTTATACGTCATTTTTTGCGCATTCTATTGATTGAAAGTGAGTTTTCATGAAATACTGCTGATCGTACTGCTTTCGTTTTTTCGCAAACGATGGCTTACTAAGCAATATTAGTGAGAAGAGAATGGATAATTGTTGGGAGATGAAGCTGTGAAGTTTCACACGGTTTTTGGAAGTACTAACTAGTGAAGTTTTTTCTCAGTGGTCTGAAAGCGTCTCGTTCTCTCTTGAAGTGGTCCCTCCACAGTTATTCTTCAGTAGCATCTGTACATGCAAATAATAGTCTTGAATCTTTGCCCCACTTCATAATGATTCATTTGATTCGACGCACAATATCAGTCGCCCGGTATGCACGTGGCGCAAACATTCCGCCGATGTTCTGCAATATTTTTGTGACTGTATGCCTTTCGTTGGTGTGTGGTCTCAGGAGCTCACGAAACCCTGATGTGGGTCGCTAAGAGAGAAAGCCACTTTTTTACGTTTCGCATCGCGAAACCTTTCCGCTTTAGAACCTCAGGTCCGCCCCTGATACAAGCAGCGAAAACTGTGACTATTGGTACAAAACTGCAAAATCACTGCAAACAATTCCGCATGGCATCGGCGAAAACGGCCGATGTTATTTCGTAATTTCGCTACTGTGATGGGTCGGCTACAGGATAGATAAATTAAGATCAGTTGATAAACTGTATTCGGAGGGAACCAACAAGCTCTTTTTCTTTGCAGCTTATTTGAATTGGGCGTGTGCGGTGTCGGGCAACTGTTTTTACAGCCCAGATTTGCCGCCATCCACGCGCTACAAGGCATTGCACAAATTTGCGTAACTATTCACGGACGATCTTAAGATCGTTAGTAATAGTTACGGGACATGAACTCGCTATCATGTTCTCTATCTTGAAAAGCTGAAGCACTGGCCAGTGTCTGGCTCACCCTTCAAAGGTCCAAAAGGAAAAACTGTTAGCCAAGTGAGTGGTCAGTTTCGGAGGAGGTATAAGCTGCTCATCATTCTGGAAAAAGTTGAGTCTGCAGGGAACATAACAGTCATAAGACACTAATGCCAGAGTTTATCCACTCTCAGCGAAACCCAAAACCTCCACAGACCAGTCGTTGTCTTTTTAGCGTCTGAAGGAGCCTTTTCGGCCTCATATGCTGTCTATCTCAAGATTTAGGATTGTCTAGTTATTGTTGTAGGAATATCCGAGAGAAACTGTAGACTTTGTCGTCCATGAACGGGTAGTACTTCAGGCTGGCCATTTTCAGTTCGTAGTTCGGCTCTAGCATGCCCTTGTGGTTTGGTCAGTAACTGCGTTGGAAAAATGCAGAATCTATCCCCCCTCCTTTCGCTTGCTCAGAAAGTTTCCTCGTCTTCATGCAGCGAAAATTCTATTGGATGTTGTTCTGAGCTCCTCCCTTGTTGTAACCTTGGCATGTTTTATTCTTAATTGTGCTAGTTTGTTTCTGCCGTTCGAGGCTGATAGGTGAACCATTTATCAATCGGCCTAACGTTACGACAAAATCGTCGTCTTCTGAGGCCTAAACGCGGTTCAAGGTTATGATTAACGTTCTATCCCACCGAGCGCCTTATCTTCTTTAGGTCCTACATTTCGTCGGGGTTCCCACCAATGAACACAAGCAAAATGACTTTTGAACTAACCCAGTGTTCCACCGTTTGGGTGGTGTCAGAGTTCGCGATCCGTCGTACTATTCGTGCGAATCGCGCGAAGAATCACAGAAATCGAAGTCCGATCAAACTATGAGGTGCTCTCCAATCCCGCCGCCATTTCTGCTTGATGGTGATGATTGAATGACGACTGTTCATGATTCTACTTGTTCATTTCAGTGTTTGAATGGGACACTTACGATTTCTGCGAATCGCGCGACGGATCGCGGACTCTGACACCTGTACACAACGTCAGTAATAAGAAATGATATATAGTATCAATTGGGAAACCCACTGTTGAGTGGATCTCAATTTTTTGCTATTATTCATCAATTTTAGTGAGTACTCTGCTGCAAACGCTGTTGAGTGGAGCCGCTTTGCTGTGACTGCGATCTGTAATGACTAACGATTTGCAATACTTTAATTTATGGGTTTTCTTTGACGGCGATGGCTAGCTTGTTAGTACAAATGATGCCGCGTTCTTCTACGAAAGCGTTCCGGAATCGCACATTCTTAATCACGAGAATGTGTTAATACATATCTGGCAAGCGTGGAAGAATAGATTCAAATCGACTGGTTACCACTTCTTCAAAAAGTTTATTCGACAAAGTTCAATAACTAGTACATATCCATATCCATATACATTCGTGTTTTACTGTTTTATAGTGATATATAAGCTCTTGTGGATTTTCTCATCCAGTCATTGGATTGTGCGATTCGCCAATTCACTTCTCGTGATTGGGAAGCATCTTTTTTTTTCACGGATTCTTCGATGTTGTAGCTCCGGGTACAAGTGTGGTCTAAAGTAGCGTGGTCCACACAAATATCGTTCCAATTTCTGACTCGATATCCTTGCTTCACTTCCAAATGCCGACTAAATCGCAGCATGCTGCGCTCGTTCCAACTGCCACGCATCGGTAGCATGCATGGCCGACGGCATGTTCGCACACGCTTGTACTCTACAAGGAAGGTCTTTCAGGGTGTGCCAAGCTTTTTCAAAACGGTCTTTTGCATGATATAGGGGCACATGCGGGAACCACAGAACCATGGTTAATTTTTCCTGAACGGCCCTCTGAATACCAGAAAAGGGGGTCCCTAGTCACACCTTTTTCACCAGTTTTTCAATCAAAGTCTATTTGTAAGGGTTACTGACGTCCTAATCATGAATT